ACACTTCTTACTGATATAATAATCTCATAAATTTTCTAATTTTCATTTCTTACTTTCCTTTTCCTTTTTCCTCTTTTCCCCGTTCTTTCCTATTATAATTTTCTGTTAATATAAATTCGTATATTTGCAACCAGTCCTGGCTTGCAATAACCATGAAATATAGCGTGCGCAAGATATCCTAGAAAGTGAAAGGAGTATTTTTGCTTCCACAACAAAATTCCACCTTAGGGATGGGGGCAGCTATTTCCATGAAGTGATCGGCGTAGTCATTGAAACAGTTTCGTCACTTTTGCTTCTTTCATCCACAAAAAATAGTTTTTTTTCCAATCTTAATGGACTGCAGTACTTTTCCTGATGTTCTCTCAGCCTCCCTTTAGCAAACGCCACTGTTGGGCTAGTTTGGGTCATTATTCCTTCGAAAAGTGAATTGACCCAATTTTGTTTTGGTTTATTTCTTGGACAGATAAATGCTTTTTCTACGAAATATGGATTAAAGACCAAGGCTGGGTCTCAAGTCAGTGAGACAGTTTTGCGAGGTTTTAATTTGTAGTTAACTGTTTAAATTTGTAGTTATTTTTCGATTTTAACACTCTTATATCGAACTTGTACTTTAGGAATCATCGAATTCTTCAAGAGCAATCTCAGCATGCTACACGCTTCATTGGTCTTGCTTCGGTGAAAAATTCAGAAAAAGAGAAATGGCTCTACGCATTTTCTATAGAACCAATTCGACAAATGACAGTGGCCGAACGTACGAAACAACCAGAACACACCACTGAATGTCCTTATTTGGGAATACTCGAACGCCTCATTTTGGAGTATTCTTTTTTTTTGGATTTATTACCTGGTTGCTACAATCTGCTTATTATACTTGAAATATACGTAGGTCCCAGTTGCACAGATGAAGAACCAGACCGTGAACTACAATTTGTTCCGATATATTCGGTTCAGTTGTAATTCATGCTCGGCTTCTTCAACTATGCAGTTGTAGCTTTTCTAGTTGCTTTGACCATTGGTACATGGACCAGTGGTCAGTCCTCTGGTGATCTTAACATTCGTTTTGTCTCTTGAAGAATTACTGGATTTGTGGTTTTCTTGGAAAAAACACTTTGTTAAGGCTTTAACGATTTTGTGATGTCCTTGCTGTTTGTTGAGCATCAACATCCTGAACACAGCTACTTTTTAATAGTACCTTATTAGACAAAAATTTCTCGGCACTTAGTAAGCAACCGTTGATATTTACGTAAGTTATGAATCTCATCACGGAATGGTTATTTTAAATATTTTAAAAATTTCGGTAAATTCTCTGTCATTAACTGTTTAGGCTGAGAGAAATGAAAAGAAAGCAAGAATCCTCTGCAGAGAAAGAGCAGTATTTCTTCGATATGTCATCATCTGCTGAGGATCTTGTTGATCATGGCGGCAAACGTCCAAGAAAAAGCGGTACATTTCACATTACTGGAGTTTAGTTTCTAATAATATTTAATTTTTATTAAGTTATTTTCATATAAAAATCGGCTTTTGCAGTATATCAGATCGTTGGGAAATTTCAGCATCTACACGACATAGTGGACCGAAACATTCCTTTTTATTTACTTTTCTCTTCCTTTCTACTGTATTATAATATCATATAAGTTTCTTATATAATAAACCCTTCCTATTTACTATCTATTTCATTCTTTCCTTTTGCTCACTGTGCCAGTCGCGAACGAAGCCTCTCCTCCGAAAATTGTTCTGAACCGGAAGGGATTGGAACCACTTCTGGTTACGTCCGGACGCACTGTGTTGCCACTACACCACCGGTCCTTGTGCTCGGTTCAGACTGACAGCGCACCTACTGTTTATCTGCCTTTCAAGGAAAGATACACCTTTCCTTTTTTTGTGATGGCTTCTTGGCTGGCTTTTCGTGGGTTTCCCACAACATTGCTTTTGATGTATACTTTTAGGCCTAAATATAATGAGGCAGTAAAACTTGAGTTCATTTCGTTCTATCTGTTTAGATCGCACCCCGCGGGAGCAGCAGCCTTGCTGGTTTTGTTTATCGAACGTGGATGCTGAACAGTATTTGGTGGTCTCTGTT